TCATTTGTTCAGACTTGCCATCAATCGTTTGTTCAAATTTGCCAAAACGATTCTTGTCAGACTTGTCATCAAACGATTCTTGTCAGACTTGCCATCAATCATTTGTTCAGACTTGCCATCAATCATTTGTTCAGACTTGCCATCAATCGTTTGTTCAAATTTGCCAAAATTTGAACAAACGGTTTAAAAATCTTCCATAAAAAGTTGTACTTATGAACGTTTGGCAAGTGTAGCCATAGTTTAAGACAATAGTTATTGAATTTAATGTAAATAGAGCATATAAGATATTTTCTTATTGATTAATAACTACACAATCACACACGCAACATGTGATTGCTTGCAACATGTGTGTTGCCAACACAAATATTTTTTATCTGTAAATAACTATAATAGTTATTAGTAGTCTGGACTTTTTGGCCATAACTGTATGTTTGCTAAGTGATCCAATTTTCTCCATTCTTCTTTACTCCTGAACAAAGAGTGGAGAACGAAATGTTTTTTTTGTGATGATTACATACACGTTTTGTTGTAATGTTTACATACAAGTTTTGTTGTGATGTTTAATATATGAAGAGTTTGTTTTCAAAACGCGTTAAGCGTCGTTTTCGAAAATTGTGTTGATTGCTCATTATTATTAAAATAAAAAATATATACTTTTAAGTCATGTTAGCAGCTATTCATTCAGAATTCTATTGTAATAACAACGAAATGTCACAAGATGCTTCTAGATATATGTTCTACATGTCAATCGTTTAAATTGTCTATAAAAAACCAAAGTATTACTGATGACCAAAAGTAAAGAAAAACTGCTGATTTCATTCTTCACCGAAGAAACGCAATAAAATTTTACAGTTTGCTTAATGATATCCACCCAAATGAGGTGACTATCTGCTTTAACATGATGGAGAATCTTGTACTACTGAAATTATCAATAGGAGAAGCCTATTATTCTCAGCAGCTTTATTTATATGTTCTAAGTATTGTTATTCATAAGGTAATAAATCTCAATTTGTTAACGATATATATTTTTTTACTTGGAATTTAGAATAAAAAAGATTCAGCTGTATAACATCTATTTAATAACGATCTAATAGATAAGTGTTTTGATGTTTCATCACTTCGGCTGTTTTCTGATTCATGCTGTGCCCAGAACAAAAAAATAAATATGGCATCTATGCCACAGCTAAAAAAAATTTAACTTCATTAAATTTTTTTTTGCTGTGAATTCTTTTAGTGTGCACTATCTGATGTATAAATATTAAATTTTTTTTTGCTGTGAATTCTTTTAGTGTGCACTATCTGATGTATAAATATTAAATTAAACAACATTTCCAGCATAAGCTGTTGTATTTTGTGTTTTAATTGAGTTTTATTAAATTAAAATTTTATGTTTATGACTAGAGTCATAAACTACTATTTTATACGCTTTTTTACTTATTTGAGTTGTTTAAAAAAAATTTTTTAATTATTTACATTAAATATCAAATAACAATTTTATAAAACCAATATAGTAAATATAGTAAAATCCGTGTTTTGCAGTTAGATATTAACACAATATTTATTAAAGAAATAAATTAAAATCGATTTAAAGTGTTTTGTTGTTAGTAAGATTCGGATATACAGCGTTTTAAAATAAAACAAAAATAACGACTAAAAATAAATATTGATTTTATTACGCTTTATTTCAGTAATCATTGTAGTCTTGTTAATAAAATACATGTTTAAAAATACATGTTTAAAAATACATGTTTATTATATCTATAAATGCATGTTTAACTAAATCAATAATTAGTTATTCCAAATTATTTAATTTGATTACGTAGGAAAAAAGATCGATATACTCAAAACCCAAAATTTGGATTTACTGCGTTTTGAAAATGAGCTCTTCATATGTTTTGTGGTGATGTTTACATACATATTTTGTTGTGATGTTTAATGCTTTGAAAGCCGTAATGTTCATAATGCCACATATTTTTTACAATGCAGTATAACCTTTTTAAAATTCACGAAATGCAATGAAATCACAAGTGTTTATGTCAAAAGGTAACTTTTTTGCATTGTTTAACAAATTTAACACGAATAACATGTTTGTTATTCGACAAGGAAGTATCTATATTTTCACAAAAAGTGTTTTGTTGAACAGAAATCTAACTTCCCATTCTCACTTTTCATAACAACTTTTAATTGAATAAACAATGCGAGTTAAGAACAAAACAGTAAAGAAACACTTTCATCGCGCACATTAGGGAATTTTAGAGAATTTAACATTTTTTTTTAGTTCTTAAAATTCATCTTAAAGTTAAAATTCTGGTTGCCATCAATTTTTTTCAAGTTCGTTTTGTATGCTACCGGAACGTGGCACCGCTCGTGCAATCTTAGTTTTTCAGAAATCTTTTTAACTTTGTATATTTGTTGTTAACAAATTTTTGTATATTTGTTGTAAACAAATCTTTGTATATTTGTTGTTAACAAATCTTTTTATATTTGTTGTAAACAAATCTTTGTATATTTGTTGTTAACAAATCTTTGTATATTTGTTGTTAACAAATCTTTTTTTCTTTCTTAACGTGTTTGGAATGCACTTTAATTTTTTTTTCAAAGCATTGCTAGCTTTACAATAAGGAAACAAGGAATGACTTTATCTCTCTGTTTTTAGTAAAACTATAGACTAAGTGCATTTACTGTGTTTGGAATATTATTTTATTGACACTGTTTTAGACCATTTCCACGGTTTTCATTACACAAGATAAACGAAAATAATTTGACCAGTATTTTGAGTAATTAAATGGTTGAATAAATCTCAAAATTGGATTTGACTACATTAAAATATATTACCAAAATTATTTTTGAAGTATTGAAAATTTTCATTGAATTTGTTTAATGTACTACCCCTACAAAGATAATGAAAAATCTCATTCTTATAAAAGATATAAAATTCTTAATGCTGTATATATACAGCATTAAAGAAAACAAGTTTTTTTCCATATTAAAAAAAACATCACATCATATGGCATACCCTATCGGTCCTGTACCTACTGATCGGCTTTTTTTTTTCGTTTAAAAAATGTTTTTTAGTGTTGAAAAGTTGTTTTTTTTGCTTCTAGATTACTAAACCTATATTCTTTCGTGGAGCATTGAAAGTAGAAACAAATGCTGCTATAAAGTCTTTGGTGGAGCATCGAAAGTATGAACAAATGCTGCTATAAAGTCTTTTAATACTAATGAGCGCAACTTCTGGTCTCTTGGGTACAACTGGACCCAGTTATTCAATCCGTTGACGCAGTAACTCAATTGCTATTCTTACAGCACTAAAGGATTTGAAGCAATATATAAAAAGTACGCTGTACGGCTATTTATTTTAACGATAAAAGTCTTTCTTATGTTTTTACTTAATATTTTGTGTTAACCAATTATTTGTTGCAAAAAGCCATGCAATCCAAAAGTACTGAGGAATTTAGAACATAAATAAATTTATTTTGAAGTATTATAAATATTTTAAAATATTGCAGACTTTCTTTATATAAGAAATATTAAATGAAAATGTGTTAAATAAAGTACATGCGTTTAAAGTACATACCCAAGTTTAAAAAACTTCAAGTTACACCTAATAAATAAGATAAATTAAGACATCCTAAGTTCAAGAAACTTAAAGCTGCACCTAACAGATAAAAATTTTATTAGGTGGGGTTTGAAGTTTCTTAAGTTTGAGGCGTAATAAAATTTTGAGCAATTTTCTTTAAATTTTTTTCACGTAAAGCTGAGCAATTACTCAGCGGTTTGGAGTAAATTACTCAGTTTTACGTGAATAAATGTTTGAACCGTTTTACTCAAATTATTACTCACGTAAAGGTTAGCAACTACACCAAAAACGCTGAGTAAAAGCAATTGCTTTTTTTTTATTCAACCAGCCTAATTAGACGCAGCTTATAGTTATTTGATTTATTTAAAACATTTCTGTGAAGGACATTTCTAATTCTTTTGTGTACATTAATTGCAAACTGTGTTTAAATTTGATGTTCCTTGCTTTTGAGTATTATTTTAATATCATATTTTTTTATAAGTATAGGTTACTTTTGAGCGATTTAATCTTTTCACAAATCAATACTATTTTTTTATGTTAATTTTTATTTCGATTGATTAGAAGAATATACATTATATAATTAACAAATCGCTCAGCTCAACATCCGATAAATATAAATAAGCAAAGCAAAAAACGCCTTGTAATAAATAAATTGTCAATGAAAAAGTAATAAACAAGTTTAAATTTCATAAATCAGTTTCCTCTTTAGACGATATTTTGCCTGACTTTTTTTTTTTTCGTGAACTTTGGGGAAGTCCAGACGAGAAAACTTTGGTTTTTGCGCTAATGCATTTTACAATCTACCGGAACAAATATGTTCCTGCGGCTCTACTTTGATGTTAGAAAAAAACAATAAACTATTGTATAGTTTTAGGAGTTTTTTATTTTCTAATCTTTTTAAAAAATTTAAATTTAGTTCAAATTAAGTTTTTATAGTTTTCCTTATGATAAAAAGAAAGATGTTTTAAAGTAGGAAATAAATTAAATTTCTTTTTATTCATACATTTTTATTTAACTTTTGCAAAAGCAGTTTAGTCTCTATCATTAAAAATATTTAACAAAAACTTTTTTGCATATTTTTTTAACCAAAGTAATCTTTCGGGAAGTCTGATTTCCCGAACCAAGCTAAAGTCCCAAACTAATTTAAAGTCATACAAAAGATCGTTAAATTACTCTTCATCATCCTCTTCCATCATCCATTAAACTACTCTTCATCATCCTCTTCCATCATCCATTAAACTACTCTTCATCATCCTCTTCCATCATCCATTAAACTACTCTTCATCATCCTCTTCCATCATCCATTAAACTACTCTTCATCATCCTCTTCCATCATCCATTAAACTACTCTTCATCATCCTCTTCCATCATCCATTAAACTACTCTTCATCATCCTCTTCCATCATCCATTAAACTACTCTTCATCATCCTCTTCCATCATCCATTAAACTACTCTTCATCATCCTCTTCCATCATCCATTAAACTACTCTTCATCATCCTCTTCCATCATCCATTAAACTACTCTTCATCATCCTCTTCCATCATCCATTAAACTACTCTTCATCATCCTCTTCCATCATCCATTAAACTACTCTTCATCATCCATTACTCTTCAAGTCAGAGTAATCATTTTCAGGAAACTGAAATGACTACTAAACTAAAATTATATGAATAAAAGAAGTTTTTTTTTCGCATCCTGAAAAAGCATTCGCCAGATGGCTGGTGTGTTGAAGGTTCTAAAATTACAGCATAAATAAAAAAAAAAAGAAGCTTAAAGAAATTGCAGCATAGTCCAATTTTTATTTTGAAGTTGAAAACAGAATTTCAATTACACTTAGTGCAGCAACACTGATTAGAAATATTTTTAATAATATGTTTAGTATATATATATATTTCAGTTATATAATTAGTACATTATCACATTACATCATCGAACTTTTTTTTTTCTACTGTCTCAATACGAAAAAAAAAATCTTATTAGTTCCCAGATCAATTAGTTTAAAAAGTATATTTTTGTAATAATTGTCATTGGTTGTAAAAAAAAATCTTAGTTCCCAGATCATGAATGTTTTAAGTGAAGTTTTTGTAATAATTATCAATGGTTGTAATATTTGGATAATGAAAATTCTTCCAAAAATCACAGGCAATATTATCAAATCAAGTCGAAACCTTTCATAAAATATTTTTTCTCTCCTCCAGTGAAAGTCTCGTTCAAATAAAAATTTTTCTAGTTAATGTTGAAGATGGATATTTGATAACTCTATTTTAATCTATCACATGTTTGTCTTTTTTTCATGTTTTTCTTCGCGTAGTCAAAGGCAATCTTAAACTTTTTATTAAAAATTAAATAATAATAAGTTTAGTATTAATATCAATAAATCAAAAACTATCTAGAGCGTTATCAATAACTACTGCATTCGAAGCTAAGTTAATCCAAGATGTTTCCAACCTCCAAATTCGAGTCTAGATCCTAGAAACTAACCTCGCAGCAAAAGATGCTATCACCGCAAAACTAAACCTTGAATTGAAAAACCTTGACTCGAAGGCTGAGATAAAAAACTGCAACGCTCCTTTGAAATCTTACGCCTCGGTTTTAAAAAAACTTTCTATAGAATCTCACAGAATAATAAATATAGTTGCTGCAGATTCTAAGGAAAGAATACATCGCGCATCTAATATAATCGTTGTAAGCTTTAAAAAGTCTACTAAAGACGAAGCTGTTGTCACAGTTTTTTTAAATGCATGTGGGGTAGTAAATCAGATCAAATCTGTCCGACGCTTACATAAAAATAAAAAATTAGAAAATAAAAACGCACTGGACTTAATAAAAGTATCGCTACAAAACGAAAATGAAAAAAATGAAGTGTTCCAGTTATGCAGTCGTCATAAAGCTATATCGTTTGAACGTGTTTTTGTTCGCAAAGACTCAGCAAACCGAGCTCGCAGAACTACGTAATAAATTGAAAACGTTTAATGAAGAATTAAAGGAAGCCGGAGTCCTTGACCAACCATTTCGTAATGTTATACACCGCAGAACTGGCCAAATCTGCTGCATCAACGTTACCGAATCAAACATCCAACAAAAATATGATTTCGAATCTGCTAAAATAGCACTTGACAATTTTGAAAACGCAAAATAAAAACCCTGATCAAAATTGACGCCCACTCATACTCTTACCTTCCACCTTAAAATCTGTTACCAGAATCCTAAAATGTGTTTATTTCAATGCAAGATCATTAAACAACAAATTAGTAAACCAACACATTCTATTCCAGTATGGAAATCTTGACATCATCTTTATAACAGAAACTCAACAATTCCACTCCTGACTCGTCACAGTTAAACGGCAACTGTTACAATCTATTCCGGCATGACTGTGGCAGCAAAGGTGGCGGCTCACTAATTTTTGTACGCAGTGATACCTATGCGCTTCAAATTGGTTACGAAATTCCCGATGATCTTCATAACACTGAAATTACCTGCATCGACGTTAGTACTTCACCAAATCTTGGCAAGACTAGATTTGTGTGTTTACCATCCACCTTGTGCAGCATCAAATACTTTTAAAACCCATGTGCAGGATTTGGTTTTAAAAGTATTTGATGCTGCACATTTCTGTCAACATGTGATTCTGCTTGTGTAATAATACGCAATTTCAACTTACCATTAACTGGTCAATTCCTATTAGTTTTGGTGATGTTTGTCGTGATTCTTCTGTTGAAACTTGCTCTTTAAATGATCTCGTGGTCAGCTAGTGGCCAAATTTACTAGACTCGACAATCTGTTAGATCTCGTTTTAACCAACAATATTAAAATGTTGTTCTGGTTTATACGATGCTGCGATTATTAGAAACTGTATTGCTGGAGAAAAAAACATTGTAGAAAAAACTAGTTTAATGCAATTTTACATGGACGTTAAGTCCAAATCTACCTATCCAAATTCTGTTCCGCCTCTTGTAAAATCGGACGGTTTTCTTTGTACTGATGATTCTGAAAAATCTTGTACTGATGATTCTGAAAAAGCTGTATTGCTGAAATCACTTGCTACTTCTATTGCCGTTCCGCTTTTAATCTTTTTTGAATTATCTATGTTAACCAGTGTAATCCCGAAAACTTGGAAAACAGCTATTGTGTACCCAATCTTCAAAAAAGGAAACCTTCTAACTACAGACCTATTTCCATTACTTGTATCATTTGCAAAGTTATGGAGCCTATTTTCGACTAAAGCTTAAAAAGTTATCTTCTGCTGAATAACTTTATCTCTATCCATCAGTTTGGCTTAAAACGCAGATCCAGATTTAAACAAATGTTAGCTTCTCTAAATGAACGGACCAACGTTGTTAACAAGCATAAGGTAGTTGATATTATCTGAATTGATTTCGAACAGGCTTTCGGCTCTGTCTCACATCCCAAATTATTGCACAAATTGCAATCTTAAGGCATTAAGCATGAACTGCTATACTGGATTACAAACTTTTTAACTGACCAATTTTAATGCGTTTGCATTAGTAACTCTTACTCAAATTACGTATCTGTCAAGAATGGAATACCTCAAGGAACTGTATTGGCTCCCACTTTATTTTTTATATTTATCAACCATATAATCTTGATTATTGAGGGTGTGGAACTTAGCTGTTTGCAGATGATATCAAGTTATACCAAGAGAGAGATAAAAGCACAAGCATTAATGCAGACCTTGTAAATTCTTTAAAAAACTTTTACGATTGAATAACTTATTGGCAACTAAAAATAGCGTTTAATAAATATTTTCACATACGCTTTGGGTAGTGTTCTTTACCTGATCCC